TTACATGGATTTACTGTACATGACTTCAGTCATCGGAATAAAATCACAGCATGATAGAATTTTATAGCTAAGAGGGCTCTCAGAGATAATTTCATTTTACATATATAGAAAATAAGATTTATAGAATTTAAGTGGCTAGTTAACATGTTACACTGGTAATCATTGGCAATGGGAAGATGAGAATCCAGGTTTGTGATTTGCAGTCCAGAGTAATTTAAAATTCTAAACATTAATTAATTTATAGATTTAACTAAACATAGTTTCCTTAAAAATCAGAATTAAAGCTCTGGTCAGATGGCTTAGTTGCTTGGAGCATTGTCCCATGCACCAAAAGATTGCGGGTTTGATTCTAGGTCAGGGCACAAAACTAACTTTTGGGTTCAATCCCCTGTCAGGGCATGTACAGGAGCAACCAATCAGTGTTTCTCTCTCACACCGGTGTTTTTCTCTCTCTCTCCAAAAATCAATAAACATATCCTTGGGTTAGGATAAAAAAAAAAATCAGTAGTAAAAGGAAAACCTATATTAGATATTTGAACTTGGGCTCACTGAATTTTTCAATTGTCAATCACTTGATGTTTATTGATTATCTACTATGTATGGTCATTATGATGTCCTGAGAGTTCTTTTGTCCTGCAAGTTCATGTACTTAAAATTTTTTATTTGAAAATTTTGATTAGGAGAACAGGGCTTGCTTTGTTAGCTATTACTATACTTATTTGATCCTAAGAGGCACATTTTTCCTTAACACCTCTGAAAAGCTAAAATGGATGGCATCTTATAATCTCTGTTATACAAGTGGTAGTTAAGATAACAGTCTTTAATGCCTACATATATAGTTATTTGATATTTTGGGGGTTATGACTGAAATTCCTTGATGTTTCAGTTAACAAGTACTTCAGAGAATGGAAATTAACTCCAGGTTATTATCTAAAAATCTTTTGTTGGGACTGTCCAATAAGATCAAGAAAGTGGTATTATCAATGAGTATTACAGTAAAGAAAAATCTAGAGACAACTGTGGAAAAATACTGTAATTCAGAGGTTTTCAAACTTTTGGTTTCAGAATACCTATATATGCTTAAAAATTAGAGAATCCCAAAAAGCTTTTGCTTATGTGGGTTATACCTATCGATATCTGTCATTTAAAAATAAAAGAGAGAAATTTAAAAATAGTTACTGATTTATTCCTTTGGAAACAGCTATAATAACCCCATTAGATGTTATTTTAATAAAATCTATATATTAAAAGCCCAGTGATTGGAATGGCAGAACGACCAGAATGACTGGTGGCTATGATGTACACTGCGGCAGCCAGCCAGCCTGAAAAGGGCCCTCATTAACCCTCCACCCTCCCAGCTGGCCTAGTCCCATATTCGCCCCAAATACTCTGATCAGGGGTGGGGCAGGCCAGCCAAGGGCTCGCGGCCCCTCACTCCGGTCATCCCTGCACCCTACTGGCCCCAAATGGGCAGGCTGGCCACACTCCACCCATGCATGCATTCGTGCTCTGGGCCTCTAGTGGTCTAATAAAAATTACTTCAAAAAATGACAATGCCATTATATTTTTATATTTTCTATTATATACTTCTATATTTGATTTGTTGAGATATCACAAATTATGTAGTCTCCAGAAAATACCACTGTACACTGTGAGAGAATGAAAGTGAAAAAGGTAAATAATATTCTACTATTATTGTGAAAATAGTTTCAACTTTGGGACTCTCTGAAAGAATCTTGGTATCAGTGGTCACTGATCATACTTTTGAGAACCACTGCTGTAAAATAATACTTCGGAAGGCACAGGGGAAAAATAGGAACGTCCAAAGCTTTATATAAAAAAATGATTCAGAAGAGCTGGATTCTAAATTCTAATTCTAAATTTATTATACCTTAATTTATTTTGCTTAAAAATTCCTTTTATGTATATGTGAGTGTCATCTGATTAAGAAAAGTTATAAGCCTAAATAAATCTAAAAGAAATTCCAACAGGTATTAAAATCCTATGTGATAAGAAAAACATGTATCATAGTTTATTGGCAGTGTTTTTCTTTCTTTGTGGTTCATAAAATAATGATATAGACTATAACTGATGGTATTGTAGATTCAATTATATACAATCAATATCATAAAGTCAAATCTGTATCATTATTTTCTCATGTGGAGAAATTTGATGCCACTGGAATTTTATCTACAAGTAATGATGGGATTGAAAATATCAATTACAATGCAACCAAAACATTTGAAGAAAATGCTTTAAATGGTAAATATTTAACTTGTCTTTATACATTTCAGAATGATATTTTTACTAAATGAAATACTGAAGTATCATTTATTTATTCTTACAGTAAGATGTTCTGCTTTTATAAGTTAATAATACTTTGATTTGAAAAGTTGATATTCGGCCCTGGCCAAGTAGCTCAGCCAGTTAGAGCATTGTCCCAATATGTCAAGGTTCACTCTCTGATCAGGGCACATACAAGAAGCAACCAATGAATGCATAAATAAGTGGGACAACAAATTGATGTTTCTTTCTCTCTGTCAAATGAAGAAATAAATCTGAAAAAAGATAAGTTGACAGCCTTGGCTGGTGTGGCTCAGTTGGTTGAGCATTGTCCTATACACTTTGAATGGTCATTGATTGATTCCCCATTAGGGCACATGCCTGGGTTGCAGCTCCATCCCCAATTTGGGGCTTGCAGGAGGCAGCAATCAATGTTTCTTTCTCTCTCTTCCTCTGTCTCTAAAAGCAAAAAAAAAAAAAAAAAAAAAACATGTTTAAAAAAAAAAAAGAAAGGCTGACATTCTTTATCCTTCAATGTTGAAATTGGAATTTATTTTTAGGCTTAAAATATTATATATATAATGAATTAAAATGAAGAGCAGGTATATTTCTTTTCTTTTCTTTTCTTTTTTAATATAATGGGAATTACACTTCACCTTTAATCACTTTTAACATTTTAAAGTATTTTATGGAAAAAAATGGGGTCCTCCAAGATGGCTGCGCCCAGGTGAATACCTAGCTGCAGCCTCACACAACAATTTCAATAAAATACAACTAAAATATAAAACGGACATTATCCAGAACTACAGGAAAGTTGACTGACTGGAAATTCTACAACGAGAAGCAAGGAGAAAACCAGAAGGAAGCGCGGAGGAGCTGGAAAAGCCCAAGGTAGAGGCGCGCGGAGAGGACGGAGCCGGAGAGGAGGGCGGCTGAGTGCCTGGCGGGCGTTCCCCAGCGGGAAGGAGATAAAACTCCGACTGTGCTGGGCCCCAGACTGCTCTGAACCCCAGGCCTAGGCCAGACCCCGGGGACCCAGGCTCACACAGAGGGAGCCGGGCTGAAAGGCGGAACCCGGGGAAGCGGCGAAAGGGGGTCCCGGCGGCGGCGCGCAGTGCGCTCAGAGAAGGGACGGCCGGCTGTGCCGCGGGATTGCCTGGCGGGAAGGAGACAGGGGCTCCAGTCTGCTCTGAACGCCACCTCCAACTCCACTTCCAACTGAACTGAGCCCCAATACCGGGCTCATTGGGGGAGAGCATTGACTGTTTGGCAGCAGGCGAAAATCCAGGGCGCCTTTCTCTCAGAGGCGCCGGCAGGGAGCACTGAAGGACCCGCATAGGGCGGGGCTGACGGAAGCCAAAGCTGCAGGCTCCATCCTGAAACCCCGCCCCATCTGTAACTGTGAAATGCGACAACGAAATAGATCACAAACGAAAGAAATGGAGGACAAAAAGCGGCTGGATATAGAGTTCAAATCTACGCTTATAAGGTTTTTCAAGAATTTCCTAGAAAAGATGGATAAGACCTATGAGGATATGAAAAGAAATCAACTAGAATTAATAAGGAGTCAACAAGAAATGATAAGGGAACAACAAGAAATAAAGAATACATTGTCTGAAATAAAAAATATTTTACAGAGTCCTAAAAACAGAAGGGAAGATCGCAAGAATCAAGTCAAAGATTTGGAACATAAAGAGCCAGAAGACACTCCTTCACAGAAGCTAGAAGGCAAGAGAATCCAGAAAATTGAAGATAATGTAAGAAACCTCTGGGACAACTTCAAGCGAACCAACATCAGAATTATGGGGGTCCCAGAAGATGAGAGAGAGCAAGATATCGAAAACATACTGAAAGAAATAGTGACAAAAAACTTCCCCCACCTGGGGAAAGAATTAGACTTACAAGTCCAGGAAGCGCACAGAACTCCAAACAAAAGGAATCCAAAGAGGACCACACCAAGACAAATCATAATTAAAATTCCAAGAGCAAAAGACAAAGAGAGAATATTAAAAGAAGCAAGAGCAAAGAAGGTAGTTACCTATAAAGGATCACCTATACGATTGTCAGCTGACTTCTCAACAGAAACCATGCAGGCCAGACGGGAATGGCAAGAAATATTCAAGGTGATGAATAGTAAGAACCTACAGCCAAAGATAATCTATCCAGCAAAGCTATCACTCAGAATCGAAGGTCAGATAAAGAGCTTCACTAATAAAAAAAAGCTAAAGGAGTTCATCAACACCAAACCAGACTTATATGAGTTGCTGAAGGGAGTTCTTTCAGAAGAGAAAGTAAACAAAGATAAAAATTATGAACAACAAATACGTAACTATCAACAAGTGAATCTAAAAACCAAGGAAATTAAAAAAAAAATCTGATGAACAATAGTAACTGTTGAATATAATAGAATCAGAGGTATGGAAGGGGAGTGAACTGACGATTCTTGGGGAAAAGGGGAGAGGGGGGTGTGGGAAGAGACTGAACATAAACTGTGCACCTATGGATGAGGACAATGGGGAGTGGGGAAAGGGCAGAGGGTGCGGTGGGAACCTGGTGGAGGAGAGCAATAGTGGGGGGGGGAACATTTGTAATAATATGAACAATAAAAACTTATTTAAAAAAAAAAAAAAAAAATAAAGTATTTTATGAATACAAAAAGAGAAAAAACAGGATAACTATTAACTAAATATATGTATTCATGATTCTAACTCACTTACCTGGACTGTTTTTGCAGAATGATCTGAATGATTTAAAGTGGCTCTATCTGTAACTGGATCAGACTCTGTCTGCCTCAGGGAAGAACGCTTTTTCTTCGCAAGATCTGCATCTCTGTTGTATGAGTATCCAAGTTTAGATGTGGGAGATAAACTTGTTTTTTTGATAGGTGATTCAGGATCTGATCTGCATTCTAAGGGTCTAGAATTCTCTAGTTTTTCTTGCTCCAAGTTACTACTGATGTCCAGAGTCTGAGGCTTTGGCTCGCCTGTCACCTCACAAATAAACGGTGGAGACACATCCTTCTTTTTATCACAAACATGCGAATCACTTAATTCTAAAGTATCAGCTTTCAATAGTCTCTTCTTGCCTAACAAAACTTGCGCGTGAGTTGAATCCGTATTATAACATATTCCTGGGTCATCGGAGCCTGACGTCCTTCCAGAGCTCTGCTGGGACTTGTGGGGTTCTGGGTCACTTTTAGTCCTGCGACAGTAGGGGGAGGCTGTGCTTGGACTAAGATGATCATCAGGAGTCTGATGTTCACTTTCTGACTCTCCAACCCCACTATCATTTACAAATACAGAGTCGTCCTGTGATAAGAAGTCTATGGCTGTGCTGGTAGGCTGCTGCAGTTCAGGTTCCTGTTTCAGATCACTAAGCTCTGCATAGAATTTTTCTTGATCAATAGAACTGTTTGTATCTGTTTCATAGTTTCCAACTTTATATGTGCTTTTACTGCTGTTTTCCTCTATCTGAACAACATTTAGTTCTTGGCCACTGAAATGTGCCCTTATTTGATAGAGATAAGTCATAACAGTCAGTTTGTCAGGAATTGCTAATAAGACCATGTCAGAAGGTTCCAATAACCGAGAAATTCCTATGCTGGCAAATCCATCATATGCCTTCAAAGGAAGGAAAAACAAGATATATTGAACAGTTCAGACATTCCATACATTTTAAAAACAGCAAAAAAACAACAAAAACAAACAATGAATGCTAATTAGACTTAATGTGGGGAATGTTTTACAATGATTCAAATATTGAAACATGTTGTACAGCTGAAACTAATAAAATGTTATATGTAAATTAAATCTCAAAATTAAGTTTAAAAAATAAATAAAATTAAGTTACCATAAAATAAAAAAACAGCAGATTTTTAGAGGATTTTTGTTGTTGTTGGAGGGTACATGACAACCACATGAGCAAAACAAAATTCCAAGTCATAAATTTGTAAAAGTAGGGTAGATCCCAGAGAAATTTCCTTAACTAATTAATATCAAATGGAATGTTCTTTTCCAATAAAGAAAATAAGCAAAATGGAGTTAAAACAAACAAAAAAAAACCCTTAGAATATTTTTAAAAAAATAAGGAATTAAGTTATAAGAAATAATTCGTTTGGAGCTTTATCATTCCTATCAACCTCTCCTTTCCATGGTCATGTAACTAAAGTGACTTATGAAGAATAAATATAGCTAGATATCCCAAAAGAACTAACTCCTAGATTACCTAGTATAAAATACAAGCCTGAAAACATAGCAACTTTTTAAATGCCCAATTGAAATTGATTTTCATAATTAAAAGAGGGTCTTAATTTCACTTCATCCATTTTGGAAAGAATAAAATGTTTGAGTAGTTGAAGATATGAGGCTGCACTGTATTATTTTTGTTAGCCTTTAAATGACGGTGGCATATCAGGTTTTTCTAGTTTTGAAGAATCAAAGCTGTTTCTCAATTTACAATTAATTATTAGTATCCTGACCTAACCTTTAAAAACAGCATTGCGTTGCTAGGAAGCATTAATAATATGGTTTACCATTTAGACATATTCTTGGAGAAAGTAAAGATCCTTTAGTTATATTCTTACTTTGGAATATAAAAATATCTCTCTTTGTAACAACCTAGATGTAGGATCATAACCCAAAGTTTTTCTTAAAAAACAAAAAACAACACATTAGGAAATTATGTAGTAATTAAGAAGAAATCAGTCTTTTGCACTTACGTGTTAAAGTGCATTACTACCTTTGAATTTAATCCCTGATTTCTGTGTTCTTCCAGTAGTTTAATAAATGTTATGGAATACGTAAGAAAGAAAAGGAAAAGGAAACTGCGATATTAAAACCACTTCAATTTTCATAGCCCTGTATTTCACAATATAGGTACCTCAAAATATTTACTTGAAAGAATGTCTCAGTTGGTGTGCATGTTTAGGCCTGTTTCTTATTTTATATGTTTTAGGAAAATTAAAGTCATTTTCCTCCTCATGTGTCTTGGCAACTAGATTAACAGGCATCAATTGCAGACCATCAGGAAAAGCACCACAAGCAGTATTCTAAACATTTCCCAATTACGTATCTAAAACATTGGCATATTGGTTAAGATCAGATGTCACAGGTAAATACCTTTTTTATTCAGCACTTTTTACAGACCTGGGAAAATGATTAGCTTCCTTGTGGGGAATCTCCTGCTGGTGTTCTGCTTCAAGTAGCATTTCATTTTATGCACACTAATTGCACTAAAAAAAAAACATTTAAAAACAAACCAGGTTTCTTATAAGCGAGGTCAAGACTTTTAAAGGAATTTTCCTATAGGTTAATCTCTTTTGCTATGGTCAACCACCTACTATCTTTTTAACTATCAGTATGTGGAGAAAAAAGAAGTATTTGAGAGAAAATTGTTTTTATTTGGTCCTAGGTATTATTTAATTGGTAAGGAGGAATCCCTGCTAGTTAGGTTATACATTTGTTTGGAACTTAAAACATAGGCAAAGTTTCTCCTGCTGCTTTAAGTTCAATCAAGGGCAGATGGGGTTATCAGGAAGAACTATGTGAAGCCGGAAATAAATCTGCAGGTAGCAACTGATACTCAATGTAGATATTAGGTAAGAAGTTACAAAGTGATGAAAAGAAAAGACTGTATAACAACAACTACTTGAATTGTGCAATGAGTAGGATCATCAAAATTAAAATCCTTTCAAGACATGATTATCTTCCCTGAAAGATATAATTGAGAAAAAAAAATTTAACAGAATATTCTCCTTTATCTTGTAATTTATAAATCCAAGGTATGCTCATCATTAAGTTCCTGAAAAAAATAATGTAAAGAAGTGTGACTTAAGCCTTAACGAGAGTCCCCATACTCTTAAAATTTATTTAGATAAAAACGTTTCCTTTTCAAAATTTTAAACAGTAACCTGAAAGCTTCACTTAATAAAAATAATGATTTATATTGCTTCTATCTGCATTTAAATTAGCTTAATATTTCATTCAAATGCAAAGAAATTCAAGAATTGTCATATCTAAAGATATAATTTAATCGATGAAAAACAAGCTCTCTAAAATTATACAGAAAATATTTTATGAGAATGACTTACTTTGCAGCATGCCCACCATAAAGGTGATCTCTATAAATAAAATCATATATTTTTTAATATTTCCTTTTTTTGGGTAACATATTTCAATTAAAATGTACAGTTTTTAACTGTATTTCCTTATGGCCAGCATAATAACAACACATTTGCAAAGAAATACAAAAATACAAATTTTTTAATGGTAATATAAATTTTTGGTATTAGAAAGCAATAAAAGTAAAAATAATTATTTTGACTTAATGTTAACTGAACTTCTATCAAAGTCCCCTTTATAAACATTTTATTACTGGTGGTTTTAATAACATAAATAATTATTAATCACTTTATTCCATAAATTCTTTTGGCAATGAATCCCCCTTCTCAGAATAATGTTTTATATGTATAAAATACATAGGATTACAAAAAGAAACCAATTATATAAAAAAATAAAACTATGAAAATATTAGCAAAATTCAATTTGAGAAACAGTAATATATGTGGTTTTATGAATGCATTAACTATTGTAATTTTGAAGAAGTGATGAGCTTAAAAGGTATTGGTAGATATTTACAGCTGTAGAGTGACATGAAAATTTCTGAAATTCTAAAGGTGACAAAGTCTCAGTCATGGCTGATCCTACAATAGATTGTTTCGTAAACTTATAATTGAAGGAAATGCTGTGTGTTGCGAGTTAGATGATTCCCTGTTTTTTCATGATATGTTACACATACTGTAATATTGTGCTATTGAGGGAAGTAGTTAAGTCAGCCTGCTGCCATACTCAGTTGGCCCTAGAAGGCTCCAGCAATTCAGCTCTTGCACAGCTACCTTGAAGGCTGAAAGAATCCATATCCCCCACATACCAATTGGGTAGCCCTTTCCTTTGTATATTAATCAATCATGTGAAAAAAGATTGCCATTTACCAGAAAATAAAAAAAAGAAACCAATGTTCATATCATTTTGCTTCTAGGAACACAGGCATTCTTTTTTGGTTTTAGGCTCCTGACTATCCTCTCCCAAAAGATTTTTCTAAACTCATAATAATTTATGGCACAATCACTATGGGTACACTTTTTAAAAGTTAAATTCTGAATAAAAGCAATGTGCTTTAACAAATATTTAACATGTAATGACGTTCATACACATAGTATAATCTGATACCAGACTGGCACCTGTTATCTTTAAAGGCTATGACAAACTAGAATAAGCCATGCATCCTATTTGAACTGCAGTTAAGGGGACTATCTTCTGAAAGCTGCAGTTATGACCTTGTAAAAACAAAACAAAACACCTCACTTCCCCCAAATTAATTAAAGCCTGCAGAGAGGCCAAAACAACAACTTTTTTTTTTCCCTTGGCAATTCTTACCTTTTTGTTGTTCTCTTTAATATCTTGAGGATTCAGAGACTTGTAGTCACTGAGGGAGAAAATGGCACAGTAGGATATATACAGTATTTTACAAAATAGTTATTTTTAAAACAAATTGATTCTAAAAATTTGACACTCAATAATACCCAAGAGTAACTAGCAACTTCACAGCGATTCAATCAACAAATCTATGTAGGAAATTAATAAAAATAAATAAATAAATAAACAAATAAATGAATGAAAACAGTGATTATGTTTCATTGCCTGAAGCTTTCCATCTAAAGAGAAGTTAAGTCAGCGAACCAGAGACTAGCCTTACAACCAAATTTACACAAGGCCATATCTTATTTTCAATGTACAAAGAGCTACAGGCTTCTTTGTGTCATATAATTTTAACACTAATCCAATTTCTTTTTTCATCTACTTCTCTTTCTAAATTTTTTAAAAAAATCTTTATTGTTAAAACACTAACCCATTTTTATTATTTAAAATAAGTTCTTTGTATGAGATTAAGAAGAAAAATAATTTTTTAAAAAACAGATTTTTTAGATATCAAGAAAAAAGGACTTCTCTTTTCGGCATGCATTTCTTTCTTTTTAAAAAATATATTTTTATTAATTTGAGAGAGGGTGGGAGAGGGAGAGACAGAAACATCAATGATGGGAGAGAATCACTGATTGGTTGCCTCTTGCACGCCCCCTAGTGGAGATCGAACCCACAACTCAGGCATATGCCATGGACTGGGATCCTTCAGTCCACAGGCTGACACTCTATCCACTGAGCCAAACCAGCTAGGGTGGCATGCATTTCTTTAAAAAAGAAGAGGTGTGGATAATAAAAAAGAAATATGAAGTCAAGTATTTCAAGACATGTGTTAAAATTATTGTATTTTTTAAGCTATCTTTTATTTACAAAATATTTATAAGGAATGAAACATTTTTACTTACATTAAATCCGGTCTAAAGTGGTGTAATATTGCACAAAAAGATAAACCATTTCTCCATGATGTAGTAAAATTTGTGATTTTTACTCCCCGGTAGTTTTTCGTAACTTCTTTGCACCATACAAGCAATGACTGACTGGCATTTGGCTTTCGCCCCAAAATTGGACTTGGTATAGGACTTGGCTAGAAAAAAGAAAAAGAGAAAAATAGAAAATTAATATTAATCGACCTTTCTAGATCATTTGAACCCTTAGATGTCAGTTTATGTCCCTCAAAACTGTCAATTCAAGACAACCGTAACCTCCAAGAAGGAGTCATGAATTATAAGTTACTAGAGGCCCAGTGCACAAAATTCGTGCACTCGGGGCTGGGAGAGGATCCCTCGTCTGGCCTGCACCGTCTTGCAGTCTGGAAGCTCTCAGGGGATGTCCTTAGCACTGCTGAGGAAGTGGGAGAGGCTCCAGCCACTGCCGCTGCACTCACCAACCATGAGCCTGGCTCAGGGCTTCCAGCTGAGTAGTGCTCCCCCTGTAGGAGCGTACTGACCACCAATGGGCAGTTCCTGCATTGAGCATCTGCCCCCTGGTGGTCACTGCACATCATAGCAACTGGTTGTTCCACCATCTGGTCAATTTGTATATTAGCCTTTTATTATATAGGATTATCCTCAGTGTTAGCTTGTGGCATTCACCTGACAAAGAGGTAGGCATGCAAGATTGTTGGAAACATTGTATTAAATATTTCAATATTTCAGGCTGAAAAAAAAAAAAAATATATATATATAAACTTGCACACCCTAAAAGAAATTTGTCCACATGCAATCATGTAAAAAAATTAGTTCTTTGCCGGGCCTGGTTTGGCTCAGTGGATAGAGCGTCGGCCTGCGGACTGAAAGGTCCCGGGTTCGATTCCGGGCAAGGGCATGTACCTTGGTTGTGGAAGAGGCAGCTGATCAATGATTCTCTCTCATCGATGTTTCTAACTCTCTATCTCTCTCTTCCTCTCTATGAAAAATCAATAAAATATATTTTTAAAAAAATAGTTCTTTTTTTCTCTCTAAAGAATAATGTATTTGGAAGTCTAACAGTGACACAAATTGTTAGTAATGGAGAGATCAAAACACAGTAATCATATTCAATTTAGATAGCAGAATGATAATCATAATCAAATGTACTTCTTATATAAATTTAAAGATAGCAAAAGAAATTTAGAGCTATTATCAATAGTTTGGTGTTGGTAACACAATAATATGTCATTTGGATTTGCTCAAAATATCTTCTAATTATCAGTTATAACTACTTTTAAATATTAAGTCACTTAGGATTGCATGTTTGTATGCATGTGTTTTAAATCTGAATCATATAGTTGGCTTTTCCTTGTTCATATACTTAAAACAACAATGACAGCAAATCTAAGATCACAAAATAAGATTTTTACTCTAAACTCTAATTATTCTTAAAACCATTTTCTTTTACTGTGTAAAAACCACATTTTGTGATGGTAACTTTAGAGACTAATACAGTTGAAAACTTAAAAAGACTACTAAATGTTTCTGGACTTTAAATCTTGCTAAGAGTATTGGCTATAGACATAATATACAGGCCCTCTAAAATAGGGTGAATGGGGAATATTTATCCCTAATATCATTTAAGTTTAACAAGCAAATTATTCTTGCCACACAGTTTATTTAAGAAAGACCATTTGACAAAAGCATGCTAGTGTTAGACAATTAAAATGATCAATTCCACATAACCATGATATATGCATTCACTATTTCTGTGGAAGACTACTAAAGAATATCAAGGATATAGTTTCTTACGTTTTTATTAACTGTCAGATAAACAGATTATGTAAAAAAACAATGAATCTAGCAAAGTTTTGTTCTTTAAATAGTTATACAAAGTCAATGCTGAAAAATTCACAGGTCATAAAAGACACATTTTTATTAATTCTATTCAATATGAATAAGTAGGTAAAATTCCCAATAAAGTAAAATATTAATCTTAAAATAAAATAATAGCTCTCTTAACTATCAATCTAACATGTATAAAAATTAACTATTAAATCTTTTCACCTAATGGTGTCTTTTCATTGTGACTTTCAAATCCCTCAGTCACTCAACTTGAAAACAGAGTGGCAAGTAGTCTATGATTGAGCTAGGAGCTCAATAAACAGGGTATAAACACATTTTTTCTTAGATTTTCTATTATTTAAAGCGTTGTTTTTATTGAAAAAATTTTCATAATCCAGCACTTTCTCTTTTGGATACATACCTGGAAAATCTGATAATACTAATTCATATACATATAAGTACCCCTATGTTCATTACAGCATTATTTATAATAGCCAAGACATGGAAACAACCTAAGTGTCCCTCTACAGATGATTTCATAAATATGCAAAATACTATTTAGCTATAAAAGAAAAATAAATATTGCCACTCGGGACAACATGGGTGGATCTTGAAAGTATTATGCTAGGTGAAATAAGTCAGATGGAAAAGAACAAAAACTGCATGATTTGGAATATAAAACAAAAAATAACAAATGAAATAACAAACTAATAGATATAGACAACAGAATGGTGGTTACCATAAGGAAGTAGGTGGAGGGAGGACAAACTGGGTAAAGGAGATCAGATATGTGGTAATGGAAAGAAACTAGACTTTGGATGGTGATACATTGTATCAAATTATAATGTCATACACCAATGTTACATCAATAAATTTAATTTAAAAAAATATATTTTATTGATTTTTTACAGTGAGGAAGGGAAAGGGATAGAGAGCTAGAAACATCGATGAGAGAGAAACATCGACCAGCTGCCTCCTGCACACCCCACACCGGGGATGTGCCCGCAACCAAGGCACGTGCCCCTGACCAGAATGGAATCCGGGACCCCTCAGTCCACAGGCCAACGCTCTATCCACTGAGCCAAACTGGTTTTGGTAATAAATTTAATTTTTAAAAGTAGAATAAAATATTTTTCTGTACTGAATTATTATTTTAAAGCATTGATTTATTCCAAGTATGTGTAGCAAGTAGATGGGCCAGTAACCTGCAACTATCATTACATTGATTCATTCTAAGCATCAGAAGCATATATATATAAGTAATGTATATATATATCATAATCATATTACAATATAGTGTTTTTCTGTACTTAAAAATTAATGAAAATATACCATGTCATTACGATTATGAATATATCCTGTTTCTAAGAAAGGCTCGATATGAAAAGACTGGAAGAATTAAACTAAACTTTGGATTTGCCCTAACACCAAACTCTTATATTAAAACATCTCACAAGAAAAAGAAGTCATATGTATTGAAAAAGTCTGATGAAATCACAAGCCCTAGAAATTGCAGAAAATTGAAGTACAGACATTTTTCAATGAAGTTATCTACTAGTATTTCACAACTACTGACCTTTCGTCTTATAGTTTGCAGAGGGTCACAGCGAACTAAGCAGTTAAATCAGTTTGAAACCTTCTTGCTATGGCTGGCTCCCGATTCTGTAGTAAATGTGGCAGGTTGCATCACTTTTCTGTCCCAGTTCCCCATCTATAAAATGGGGATTATAATGGTGCTCATAGTATTGCTCTGGCGACAAGATCTGCTTCTCCCTGATCCCATCCAGCATATCCCAGACATGGCCCCTCCTTAACCTTATTGCATTCGCACAGATTGTTCCATTTGCTTAGATGCTCTCCTCTTAGATATCTGCATGGTTAACTCCAATGCAACCATCTCCATTTCACCACCCTAATTAATGACACAACCCATTTCCATCACCAAACCCAACTAGGCTCTCCAGACCTTACCTTGCTCTATTTTTTTCCCCGTAGCTTATTATCTTTTTATGGTCCGTACACTTTATTTTGGTTATTTCCAAAATATCCTTATTGTTAATGATTATTACCTGACCATCCTCATAAATAAAAGGGCTATAATGGCAGTGATTTTAGTTTTTATTATTTGACTCCAAGTGTCCAGAACAGTTCCTGGCACATAGTAGGCGCTCAGTAAATACTGCTAAATCAATAAATTCATGTAAAAACAGCCCAATGAGTTGCAAATAGTAACTATTCAGTAAATGTTAACTGCAATTATTATTATTGCCACCAATGCATTATTAGCACTTGAATTCTTATATTTGAGTGTTTTGATAGTGTTAAAAGACATTAATTTCTCCAAATTAAAGAAAATGTTCTGTAAACAAAGCTTTAACTATAAGGTAATCTTGATATCCTATGTGCAAAATGGGGCACTTGGAATTCTTGGCAATGCAACTATTTCTGGTGAAAGGAAGACATAAAAATCTAGCCATTAAGCATAGAACCAAACTTTCAAATGTTGGAACAATTACTTAAAACTTATTTCTTGTATTTTTGCAATGACAAATGTATGAGGCGGCCCCTCTATTTAACATATTGGAAATTAAGGCACAGATATTATAGTTGTCCTTTTTATGCATGGAGAGGAAATTCATAAAAGCTATTCTAATTATAACTTTATGATTAGAATGATTAGTCTGCTCAGTTAGATGATCTTTCCAGTTCTATCTCAATCAAGCCACTGTATAGACAAAATTTCAATGATCTCAGTTTAACTGAGAACTAGTTCAATGTCAACCATGATTATAGAGCCAATTTGAAGAGGTGACAGTAGAGAAGAAATAGGACTTGAGGCCACTGTTTCATTTAACAGTTCTATGTCCTGATATAGATCACCTTAATATATTATTTCTATTAACACAATGTATTATATATTAAAGAAAGTAAGGTCACCTAGTTATTCTTACTAACAATAACAACAAAATCTTTTTCAAAAAAATCTATTCAAATAACTTATTACAAAATTTCCTACATTTTAATAGTTGCAATAAATTTCAATTTTTTTGCTCTACTCCTCTGACTATAGTTGCTTTCTCTTTTTAAAATATTTAGAGATGAGAGATGAGAGATGAGAGATGAGAGATGAGAGAGAGAGAGAGAGAGAGAGAGAGAGAGAGAGAGAGAGAGAGAGAAAGAAACACCAACTGGTTGCCTCCAGTACATATTCCAATCAGAGATGGAACCTGTAACCTAGGTATGTGCCCTGACTGGGAATCACACCCAAAACCTTTTGGTGTACAGTATAATGTTCCAACCAACAGAGCCATCTGGACAGGGCAGTTGCTTT